TCAAATCACCTTTCTTCCCCATACTTTGTAACAGAACAATGAAATTTCACGAGATTTTGAAAGTAATAAAGATTAATTTGATATCAGCATATGAAAATATATTTGAGTATTTTATTTTTCAAAGTGTCAGAAATGGATAACAAAACTGCTATTTTCAATGACTACTTATTTTTGTCCAGCTTTAACATCGGTATTGATATCGGTTATCGGTTACATGAGTTTTAAAATATCGGCATATCGGATATCGGCCAAAATCCCAATATCGTGCATCCCTATTACCTACTGTAAATTAAGTTGAAAAAAGTCAAGAAAAAAAAGGTAAATTGCTAATTGAGAAGTTAAAGTTAGTAAGCCTAGTTAACAATTATTTTAGGTTTATAAACTAAAAACTGTAAGTACTAACAATAATGCCTCTATGTTGTATCAAAAAATGTGTTTCTTTCACTCTCAGAGTGTTTTTCATGAATTTCTTATAGAAGCACTTTAGTTATTTTTCTTAATATATTGTTGGTGTTTCTTGTTATTACATTGACATTCATTTATGCCATCAGAATATCCATAATTTTTTTAATGCTACAAAGGTAATAAAGCATCTTGTCCTGGTTTCCAATAACACTATTGGCTTGAAATTTAGATTTTCTAACTATTTCACTGAGCGTCCTATAAAGGGTTAACCAGGAAACGAGAGTTTAGGCTGATTCCAGGTTTCCAACCAGACGACAGGAAGTGACCTGATCTGTTAGCTAAAAGATGAACAGCTGAGTCACTGACTGATGAGTCAGACAGCGTTACTACTGCAGCCGCTCCACGTTCCCATCATCATCATCATCATCATCATCATCATCATCATCATCATCATCATCATCAGCCGCAGCTCTAATCTCAGGCTGGTTTATCCGCAGCAGAAGCGGCTGCATCTGTTCACTCACAGTTGGTGAGGTCTGGCGGGGCGAAGCTGTCGCTCATGAAGACACTGTTGGGTTTTGCCACTTTCAAGTAGACCACATCAGGAGTGTTTTTCAAGGCAGTGACGGCGTGTTCGTGGGTCACCTCCTCCAGGCAGGCGCTGTTCACCTGGACACAGACAGACAGAAGAGCTTAGCGTCCGCTCGCCGTGAGGCGGCGAAGGGCGTCAGGCGGAGAACTCACGGCCAGCAGTTTGTCTCCGATCTGCAGCCTCCCGTCCTTCTGTGCGGCGCCGCCTTCGATGATCTTGGTGACGTAGATGCTGTTGTCTCCGGGGATGTGCTGGTTTCCGACCCCCCCTGCTATGCTGAAGCCCAGACCTTTGGGTCCTTTCACCAGCTTGAGCTCCATCACCTTCTCTGAGACCGGTTTCCTTCTGCGGATGTAGAGTCGGACCAGAGACCCCGCCTCCTTCAGCGCCTCCACGGCCCGGCTGTGGGTCACGTCCCGGACATCCACCTCGTTTACCCGCAGGATGACGTCGTTCACCCTGAAACCCAAGACAGACCCCGCCCCCTTTAGCCAACTGGTAATCTGAGGAAGAGCTCCTCCTCTTCATCACCGCCTGATCAGGTGAGGCTGAGTCTCTCTGCTGCTTCATGAAGTTAAAAGAGCTGAACCGAAAGATTGACCTCATTTATATCGAGAAAAAAACTGTTTTCTTCCATTTAACATCAAAACATTTTTTTTATTCAAGTCATTTAATCAATTGTTTTTTAAATCAGCACAAATTTTCTAAATGCATATTGCCCCAAATGTACGGAAGACGATTAGGGCCACTGAAAAAAAACAAACCTAACTGATAAAGTTAACTGATTTTAAAATTTTATTTCAGTTAAACATGGGAAAAAATTCTGACTTTTTTCTCAGAATTCTGACTTTAATCTCAGAGAAAAAAGTCAAAATTCTGAGATTAAAGTCGGAATTCTGAGATTAAAGTCGGAATTCTGAGAAAAAAGTCGGAATTGAGAAAAAAGTCGGAATTCTGACTTTTTTTCCCATGTTAAACTGAAATCAATTTTAAAAATCAGTTGACTTTTTTTTTTTTTTTTCAGTGGCCCTAATTCCGTACAAATGCTTCCTTGCAAGCTTAGAGGTTTTTCTGATATAGCTTCTTAATTTTTTGTCTGAAACAGAAAATTAAACTGTTGTTAAAAATGAAATGATCAGGATAAACATCGTGGAAAAGGCCTGCTTATAAACAACAGTCGCTCCCAGACTCAGTGATGGCAATGAAAATGATTATTTTTATACCGAAAAGGTTATCCACATGATGTACACACGAGTCAAAGAGGACATCCAAATGAAAATTGCATTTAGGAGGGAAAGTCTGCACAGCTTGTGACACATGGACATCGCTGTCAACGCAGTCCTATGACGTTGATGATGTAGCCCGTACGAGTCCACGCTGGCGTTCTTGTGAATTGAGAAACAGCCTAAGTTCCTCCTGTGTCCGACATCTCACCACAGAAAGGAGTAGCTCTTCATTCAACCTATTAAAGCTGCAATATTAGATTTTTAGCTAGCTTAATAAAAAGAGCCAGAAGCTTGAACCTTGTTTGTTAATTTTACATTAACAGCTCACTAAACATCTAAGAGCAGCAGTACAGATCATTAGGATTAACTGATATGTACCATCTAGTTTTCACCAAACGCTTCCTTTGCTAACATTAGCAAGCTAGCTTTGTTATCTCTGGGATTTCTTATGCTAGCATTAGTAACTAATGTTAACGTATTTGCTTGGATCTGTAAAAAATTTCATTTGAGAGTTACTTCTCTTAGCAAATGTATTAACTGTTAGTTAATTAACAAATATATTAATTAAAATATTATTATTCTTATTTTGTTAAGCTAACAGAGTTAGCCTTATTTTTCATAGTAACATGTCTGTGCAAATTCTAGAACATTCCATTTCTATTTTGCTTTAAGCTCTTAAAACCCACTAAGCTAACTTAGACCTAAAGCTTGTTTTCTATCCTCAGATTTCTTCTTTTGCTCTTATTAGCAAAGTTTTATATTTTCAAGGTTAAGGAAAACAGGCGCGTGTGAATCTGTGCTTCCTGCTTCTTACCTGAGCCGTCCGTCCTGAGCTGCTGCTCCTCCAGGAATGACTTTGGTGATGAAGATGCTGGGGTCTTCACCGATGTGGGGGTTATCTGTACCTCCTGCGATGCTGAAGCCCAGCCCAGAGTTTCCCTGGATCAAAGCAGCCATGATCAGCAAAGGAAGGAATTTGAACACTTTCTATGTTTTCTGATGATAAATCAAACAGTCATTCTAATGTATGCTGACATTAAACGGCTCAAACTCCTCAATGAATCCAGGATTTATTCCACACCAGAACCGAATCCCTGAATTCCTGCAGAACCCGGGGCTTAGAACAACAGCGGGTGGTTTCCATCTGCAAACCTTGATCTGCTTCCATGCTTTAGTTTTCACTAAATCTGATTAAATATGAGAATTAAGGACTTTAGTGTGACACAGTCAGAGATTGTGTTAAAGGAGAGGACAGCTGTAGAGTTAAACCTGCAGAAGGAACACCAGATGCTGCTTCAGTTTGATCTGAAGGCTTCTCTGGGGATATGTTCCTTAAACGCAGCAGAGCTGAGAAGGATTTTATGTCTATGAAGCCAGATTACAGAGGATCAACAGGAAGATGCTTCATGTTGTTCTTTCTTAAAGGAAATTCAGACTGAGGCAAAGCTCTGCAGTCCTGCAGGTTGGTTTCATCAGAGCTTCATAATGAGGCACCTGAGCTCAGAGAGACTGAAAGCATCAGACCAGCTGAGCCTCCATCAGACCAAGATCAGACCAGCTGGGCCTCCATCAGACCAAGATCAGACCAGCTGGGC